GACGAAAAAGCTGGAAAGGAAGGAGGCGTCAAAGTAGCCGCTGAGAAGGTTGCCGCACCCGCAACCGAGGAGGAATTAGAAAAAATCGTCCAAGATGTTGAGGAAAATGAAATGAATTCAAGCAAAAACAAGAAGGGTGAAGAAAAACTACCCGCTGCCGAACTCAACGGTGACGTGATAGGTGTTCCTGACGCCAAGAAATTGGAAAAAGGGACAAAGGGATATAAGAAATCGATAGCAGCGACCCTCAAAACAGAAGCTGAAAAAAAGAGAAAGCCCCAAGAGAACCGTCCAGACCAAACTGAAGCCGATGCCGAGAAGGATACCAGGGATCAAGTGATTGTTAAAATAGCCAATAAAGAAACGGGTAAGGTGTTGGCAACTTCTGTCCGAAAGGCCGACAAGGACCCCTTTGTGCGCCTTGCACCTCAAGACCCGCACATCGACAAAACCCTGGCCAAGGAACGCCGTATGCGCGTGAAGACGGCGATGAAACGAGCTTGGAATGCGTACCACGCCCACGCCTGGGGAAAGGACACGATTCTACCCATCTCCCTCACATCGGCGAACAGGTGGGGCGGTATGGCCATGACGATGCTTGACTCGCTTTCTACCCTGTGGGTGATGGGCCTGAAAGAGGAGTTCGAGCAAGCGCGGGACTGGATCGCAGAAAACCTCAGCTTCAAAAGCGTGGGCCACATCTCGGTCTTCGAGACGAATATTCGGGCTTTGGGCGGCCTCCTGTCCGCCTTCGACCTGTCCAGGGACAAGGTCTTCCTGGAGAAGGCCGCGGAGCTCGCGGATATGCTCCTCCCAGCTTTTGACTCTCCCACCGGATTCCCGATCAACGGGCTCATCCTCTCCGCAGGCTTGCCCAGCGGCAGCCACCAGGCCTGCTTGGCCGAGTTCGGTACCGTGCAGCTCGAATTTAGGTACCTGAGCCACGCGACGGGAAATCCCATCTACGCGAAGAAGGCCATGCACGTCTATGAAAGGATGCACGAGGAGAGCGCTGACGTGGCTGAAAAAGGGCTTTTCAGGCTGGACTTCAACTCGGACACCGGCGCCTGGGGTGGGAAACACTACTCGGTGGGCGCGCGTGGTGACTCCTTCTATGAGTACCTCCTCAAGACGTGGCTGCAGGGCAACAAGAAGGAAACATGGCTTCGGGAGATGTTTGACGAGTCGGTGGACGGCGCGGAGGAGCTCTTGATCGCCAGAGGCCCAGGGGGCAGACTTTACATCGCCAACAATGATAACGGGATGCAAGCCAAGCGCATGGAGCACCTCGCCTGCTTCTACCCTGGCACTCTCGCACTGGGGGCCGCGACCCTGGAGACGAAAGGCGACGCGGTCCTCGAAAAGCGGGCCACTCACTACATGGACCTGGCGCGGGAGCTCGGAGAAACCTGCTACCAGTTTGCAGGCTCACAAATGACGGGCCTGGCGCCCGATTCGGTGGTTTTCGACCAGGACGGCGTGCCGCAAGCCTCGGACCCGCGATACATCCTGCGGCCGGAGGTCGCCGAGTCCATGTACTACCTGCATCTGCTGGACGGGGACCCGAAGTGGCGCGAGTATGGCGCCAAGCTGTTCGAGGCCATCGACTTCTACTGCCGCACGAACGAGGCGTATGCTCAGGTCCGGCTCTCAAGCGGGCCGTCGGGCAGGCGGAGCGTGGCTTTGCGGGGGGCGGAGAGGAAGCCTTCCGATGTAGGCGGGGAAGGAGCGTCGCAGGCCGAGCAGTCGGGGAAGGCGAAGGACATGGGGCTGGTGACTCAGGAGGACGACATGGAGTCATTCTTTCTGGCGGAGACCCTCAAGTACCTGTACCTCATCCAAGAGACAGAGCCGGGGGAGGTGGATCTGTCGCGTCAGGTCTTCAACACTGAGGCTCACCCTCTCCACATATTCGACGAATAGGGGCATAGGGATAGAAGTTGATTGCGGGATGACGAGTCGTCCAGAGATATAGGACTTTAAATGATGAGTATGTTTTTTTCCAAAGTCTACTCGCGGTCTCGTGACAAAGTGTGTGGGCTATAACATTACTAAATTAACCGATTTCGTAAATTATACCTGTCCCCTGCTCGTCATTTTATTCCTTCGCAAGCGAAATTTCACGCCATAAGCCTTGCAAGTACAGGACGCGTGTAATCCTCGATTCTGGTCAATCGTGCTCCTTGTTTCCAACCCTTTCCGTTTGACTTATTTACTTCCAGAGTTTCCTAATAGACATGTTCGAGTCGCTATCCTTCTTCATCACCTTTGCCACAGCCATTTCAAAGTCCTCCTGAGTCACGTGGATTCGCCTCTCTCGGAGGGCGAACATTCCCGCCTCTGTGCAGACAGCCTTGCACTCCGCTCCCGAAGCGTTCGGCAGCTTCTCCGCAATGCTCTTCAAATTGATGCCACGCATGAGATTCATCTTTCGGCTATGAATGGTCAAAATGTCTAGACGAGACGCCATGGTTGGGTGGGGAAACTCGATCTTACGATCGATGCGCCCGGGGCGAAGGAGGGCGGCGTCCAGGATGTCGATGCGGTTCGTGGCCATCACTACCTTGATATTTTGCGCTGGCTCGAAGCCGTCGAGTTGATTCAAGAGCTCAAGCATGGTCCGCTGTACCTCCGAGTCCCCACCCTCGCTTCCATCCACGCGCGAGGAACCGATGGAGTCGATCTCGTCCATGAAGATGATGGAGGGCGCCGCCTCCCGGGCCATCACGAAGAGCTCCCGCACCATGCGCGAGCCTTCTCCGATATACTTCTGCACCAACTCCGCCCCCGATACCCGGATAAAGGTGCAGTCCGTGTGGTGCGCCACGGCTCGAGCCAGCAGAGTCTTCCCTGTCCCGGGTGGGCTGTGCACAGAGAAGGGGGGAAGGGCAGAACAGCGAGCGAATCAGAACAAGACATGCCAAAGGCCATAGCAGCTGTACCTGGCTTCGTAGCTCTACTTTTCTGTTCACGCCCCGCCCGCTCTCCTCCTTGTCACGCACCCGTACAGAAGCACCCCCTTAGGCTGAGCTACGCCCAAAGCCTCGAACAGCTCCGGATGCTTGATGGGCAGCTCAATGACCTCCTTGATTTCGCGGACCTGCTTGTCCAGCCCACCAATCATGTCGTAGGTAGAGTCTGGCACCGCCTCCACCTTCATAAGGGAGACCAGCGGGTCGACTTTGGTGGGGAGGATCTTGTGGAGTGTGTACGAATCGTTGCGCAGCGCGACGCGGGTGTTGGGCGTGCACTTGTTAATGTCCACATCCTTGTCCAGATCCACCACGTATTTTCCTTCAGGATTGACCTTGACCAGGACCTTGGTCTTCCCCATGGCTTTCACGACCTCCCCTACGTAGGAGCCCGGCTCTTGCAAGTGATGCAGCTCTTCCCGCAACAACCTCACCTTCGCATTCCACTCATTCCGTTGCGCCTTTAATCGTTGCAAATTCTGTGTCCTCTCTCTAACTACCACCTCCAGCTCATCGATCTTACTCAGATAGTACGACCGGACGCCCTTGTCCTCCCCTGAAGTAGTTGGGCCCGTGGGCCGGCTGCTCATGACCTTGGCAGTGGCCATATCTGTCCCTCCCCGCAAATATGCACAGTTTGACAGCTCCCTGCGGAAAGGGATATGTAGAGGACCGGAAACACTCATCAACGCGAATCGGATCGATGTTCTTCAGACATCCGTTTGAAAAAGCGAAACGAAACGCTGTGATAGATGGGCTTCGAAGACTTCCTAAGCGCGAAGAAGCGATGCAAGCGAGAAAGCAAAGTGCAAAGACAATTAAGGGGGAACACGAATTTCATCACACGTCGTTCATTCCAACAGCCATGTAAGCTGCCCTTTCCCCCCCATTCATGATGTGGGGCAGGCTTGGCACTCTCAATTTCTTATCCTCCGCTGCGGCTCGAGGAGGGGCACTGGCGGTTGAGGTCTTTTCCATCACAGCCCCGCGTCATCAGTCCTCGCCCGCACTTCAGCTTCCTCCTACTGTTGCAGCGGAAAGCGTTCTCAGACTGATTGCTCATCTCATTCTGTTGTGCAGGCCGCTGCGAAGACATATCAAGGGAGAGGTAGCCTTAGAGCTGTATTTTTCGGCTTATTTCTGTCTTTAGCGCTCCAAAAGGGAATGCGCGACAGCAAACGGCTTCCTCTCTCCTTTCTCCTCCTCGCCACCTTTCTACTACTTAAACTTGACATCGCGATCACAAAAAGCGCAATGTCGACCGCTCAAATGGTTCCTTGTTTGATGAAAAGGCATAGCTGTGTCATGCCTTCCTTGAAAGCGACAAGGCGCTCGTGTGGCTTTCTTCCTTCGAATTATTTCCCTACATCGACAGTACGTATAAGAAGCGAACGATTGCGCTCGTGTTACCCTGCAGCAGCTTATCCTCCAACCTGCCAAAAATTAAAAATAACATCCTTGCAACCATTGTCGTCGTTTCCATGTCCTGTTGACGTGCGGAAAAGGACCAGACTCGCTGCGACGCAAGTGCGAGAGAGGACACCGCCAGTTGAAGATACCATTTTCGCGCTCTCTTCGGGCCAGGGCCGGGCCGGCGTGGCAGTCATACGTATATCTGGGCCCCAGGCAAAGGAGTGTTTAGCCATCCTCATGGATTCGCACAGCGGGCATTCCTCCCCACCTTTCCCGGCGCCCCGCATGGCGTCCCTCCGGAAGCTCTACTGCCCTGTCGGGCAGGAGGCACTGGACCAAGCCATCGTGCTCTGGCTCCCTGGCCCCCGCTCCTTCACCGGCGAAGACACGGTGGAGCTTCACTGCCACGGCAGCCGAGCTGTCGTCCAGGGCGTGACAGAGGCCCTACTTGCCCTGGACAAGGGGGGCGAGGCTCGCGTCCGCCTGGCGGAGCCCGGTGAGTTCACCGAGCGAGCTTTCGCGAATGGGAGGATGGATTTGACGGAGGTAGAGGGCCTGGCCGACCTGATCGCGGCTGACACGGCCGCGCAGCGGAAACAGGCGTTGAAGCAGATGGGCGGGGCCTTGCGTCAGACGTACGAGGGGTGGCGGGAGGAGCTCAAAGTGTGCCTGGCCCATACGGAGGCGGTCATCGACTTCGGCGACGACGAGTTAGACGTGGACGAGGCCGCCTACGACGCCATCCGGCCCCGCGTGAGGAGGCTGAGCGAGGAGATGCGGCGGCATCTGGCGGACGGGGGGCGGGGGGAGGTGATCCGCGCGGGCATACGCGTCGCCATCGTGGGCCCGCCCAACGCAGGCAAGAGCACCATGCTCAACACCCTGGCGCGCAGGCCGGCCGCGATCGTCTCGCCCGCGGCGGGCACTACGCGGGATGTGGTGGAGGTCCAGTTGGACGTGGGGGGCCTACCCGTACTGGTCAGCGACACGGCGGGCATCCGCGAGGCGGCGCGAGACCCGGTGGAGCAGGAGGGGATTCGGCGCGCGCGGGAGGCAGCGGGGCGGGCTCAGCTGACGGTGCTGGTCCTGGACGCCGCGGAGGTGCTGGGGCAAGAGGCCTTCGCGTCCCTGGCGGGCGTAGGGCCGTTCTCAAAGGACGCGCCGCCCGAGGACCTGGAGACGGTCCTGAGAGCGGTGGGGGGGGACGCGGGCGCTCTCCTTGTGCTGAACAAGCGGGACACGGTGGAGAGCGAACACTTGCTGGAGCAGCTCCGACGTGCGGGGGCCGGGAAGGGAGGGACATCCACGGCCGCCTACTTGGTCTCCCTGTCCACTGGGGAAGGGGTGGAGGAGATGCTAGCAGGACTGCAGGCGCGGTTGGAGGAGGTGTTTGACAAGGATGGGACGGACGACGAGCGCGCGGAAGCCCCTGTCATCACCCGTGCGCGGCACCGCGTGCACGTGGAGCGATGCCTGGAGGCGCTGACGGCGTCCAGTGGGGGAACAGGGCCTGGGCTTGGATGTGGCCGCTGAGGAGCTGCGGATCGCCTCCACGGAGCTGGGGCGAATCACGGGGGCGGTGGACGTGGAGGAGGTGCTGGATGTGATATTCCGAGACTTTTGTATAGGGAAATGAGCGTTTTACGGGGCAGCTGTGGTGCGACGCTACGCAGAGAAAGCAAATAAAAGCATGTACTAATCTCCTGTCTCTCCTGAGCCGCTCTTGCCCCTAACCCCGTGCTTGCTTTTCCCTGATAACAACGCACTTTATCCCTCCTTTCCTTGCTTTCCTGGAGCCCAAACCCCTTCCCCACCTCCGGCCCCCGCAAGCTCGTCGTACCGGCGCCTGACTGCCTGAATATCCTGCCACGTCAACCACTTAGGCCCCTCCACCTTCCGACTGGGATTGCGGAGAAGATACGAAGGGTGGAATATGGGCATGACCAGACGGGAGCCTTGCCCATCCAGGCCCCCCTCGGTGCCGAAACGCCGCTCAAACCACTGCCCGCGGATCCGGGTGATCCCCTGCTTCTCCAGGGGGAGCAAGGCCTTGCAGGCACAGGCTCCTGCCAAGAGGATGATGAGTGGGTCGACAAGCCGGACGTTTTCCATCAGGTAGGGGAGGTACCATGCCACTTCGGAGGCCGAAGGGGTCCGGTTGTTGGGCGGGCGCCGTAAGACGACGTTGGTGATGTAGACAGAGCTCTCGTCGAGCCCCACCGAAGCCAAGATGGCGTCTAGCAGCTTCCCTGCCCGGCCCACGAAAGGTTTTCCTTCCACGTCCTCTGTCTCGCCGGGAGCTTCTCCAATCACCATGATCTTAGCCCCGGCGTTGCCTCGATGTATCACCACACGGGTCCCCTCAGCCTGCAGGGGGTCTCCTCTCAGCCCCTGCAAGGCTTGTACGAAATCTGCGTGGCCGGCATAGCGAGCGTCAGGCAGGGGGCTTACTGTTAAAGAGGTTGGTGGGGTTGGAACTTGTTCCGCAGCACTAGAAGGCGAGCGCTCGGCCGCACGCAAGAAAGTCACAGACCGCACTGTGGGTCGTATAGCCGGCAGGAGAATGCCTCGTTGCAACGACCACGCAGCTGTTCGCAGCTGTGTCAGCACTACCACAAGCATGCGAAGGATAGACTCCCCGTGAAAATAATGCTGAAAGAGAAGGGGGAAATAATGTCAATAGAGCAATAGGAGTCACACAGTGGAAGGAACCCAGGGCGGGTGGTTAATGGCATCAGTATACAAGGTGAGGTTTTCCAGCAACTTACGCGCGTTTTCATGCAGGCTCCTTCCCCTGGGTATTGTGAGGAACGACCCTGCCTGCAAAATATCCCTGAGTGCTGACTGCAAACGATCCTGTAGTGTGTAATGTGGAGATCATGTTTCTTGACGTTGATATTGGCCGGCTTGGCGAGCAGGGGCGATGCTCCTTGCCGGGAAGGTCCTGTATCGTGTTGCGTCGAATATCATAAAGTTGTCATTGATTAAGGCCTCCTCTGTTGTACATGGATCATACATCCGTAAATTTTGGGATCCAGAAGATTTGTGGCATAACATGCCATTTTGTTGTTTTTATGAGCCTTTGCAATGCGCCTGCTCACGCTAGCTGATGTCCCCCTGCGCGCGAGAAAACAGTGACGTTCAACAAGTTGGTCTCGCCAGTCAACCGGACTCGTGAGACCCGGGAAGGAGAATGCATGATAGAATTTCAGCTTTATATCGTCACAAAGCGATTGTAATTTATCAATGAATTGATGGAGAGCGACAAAATGTCATGTCATTTGTGCCTACGTTGGCAATGTTTACTTCATAGCATATATATTAAATACCTTTTAATTATTTAATGGCGATTAATTAAAAGCCATATTGAATATCTTCCCTCGAGAATAAATTGCATGAGATTAATATGTTTCAATGTTTGGGTAGTGGGTCTTTACTGTAAGTAGAAAGTCTAAATGACTAGAAGTACGCACAGTGCTCCTCCCGACGGAGGAATTTTGCCACCTGGCAGTAAATATTTCGGACGAAAATTTCATCATTGTGAGTTGTAGAGAAGGAAGTCCTCCCGTGGACACACAAATTCAAACCATTCCTATATTTCTACATTCCTACAAGACTAATAACTATGGCCTGCGTCGTGCACCTCTATGTGCCGATTCATATCGTTAACAAGATTCAAGAAATCGTCAAAATTTACAAGGCTCAACCTCATACGTCTGGACGGATGTCTTGATCATCATTAATGGTGACGTGTAGCTCTGCAATAGTATCTGCTCGCACAATCATCGTTCCCAAAGTAATGCAGCACACACTTTCCGGGGTTTTATTTGCTCGCTGGTGAATAAAACTTTTCAAGAGACCCGCGTACCTTTCTCGGTGATACATTTTTATCTTCATCTTGTGCATGTTCATGTGTCTTCATTTATCAACCATTTAATTAAAGACTTGTCTTTGCTATATATGTTTCATTTGATGCAAGTAGAGAGCCTCGGAGGAGCTCAGAGGAGACCATATACTTATGCTTGCATTTCACGCTGTTTCTCAGGAAATGCTGTGCTGGATGAAGATTGAGTGTAATTCTTCAATTGCCCCTTTTGTACTCCCTATCTGAAACCAAGCTTAAATTCCATAAATTTATTGATTTGAGGATGTTGTGAGCAGAGTTCCTTGGTGATAAAGAGAAATGTAGAGGTAAACGGATTCGGATAGGGAACCTATATGGGCCAAAGGAAGAAAGCTTAGCGCAAATTGTTTGCCCTAAAACTTTCCTACAGCTCGCAATTAATGATTTTGAGCCATAATTAAAATGATTAGTGTGTATAAGAAGCAATTAATGATGAGGATAGCCTTTTAAAGACCAAACAAAGGACAATCAAAGCAGGGAAAAGGGCGGCGGACTCGGATACTTTCCATCGCCCGAGCAACGTCTCAGCATTCCTTGCGCCTGAAAGCCTCCTGTCCTATTTTTGCTTTCTTTAGGCATTGATTGATCGGCCACAGAGAGAAATTTACCGATAGATCTCCATCAAGAGCATGCTATAAGGTCTTTTTTAAAAAATGTACGTGTTAAATTGGTGAATAGAGTTTCTTGGTCTCCCATTCATCACGAAAGCGGGCGGTAACGCGTTCTAGGACCATTACCCCAGGCGGATAAGTATTGTTTTGGTAATCGGTACGACGCCCGTGTGAGGCTCACGGTAAAACATGCCATCACGACACAGGAGACGTTTTAATGCCTGTGTTAATGCGGCGAAACAGATTTGACGGGTTCGTTTTTTATTTGCTGGTTTCGGTAGCCCTCATCTTGGTCCCGCTGTCACATGCTTTCGTGCCTCGACCGCAGCAAAATCTACCTATGCACCCCAAGCAGCTTTCCACGCGAAGCCTAGGCCGTGAGATGATCACCACGACGCTTGGCGGAGAAAATATGTCCTGGCAAGATGGCTTAGCCCTTCTTGAATCGCTAGAGTCGCCCACAGTAGAGATGTATAACAAAGTATTGAGAGCCTGTGCGCTGAGCGGTCAGTGGGAACCCGGCTGCTGGCTTCTCGATGAAATGGTTGAACTGGGTCTAGACCCAGACAGGCAAAGTTTTGTCTCTGCCATCGAGGCTTGTGGCACGCAGGGCCGCTATGAGGAGGCAAACCACGTGTTGAGTTACATGAAGGAGGCCGAGCACGAGCTGGACGAGGAAGTGTACGGCTTTGTGGCCAAAGCCTGCGAGGTTGCGGGGAACTGGAGGCAACTCATGTGGACTTTCGATGAAATGATGATGCGCGATCTGGTCCCTGACTTAGTAAGCTACAACCGTGCGATTGGAGGTTGCGGTGAAGAGGGGGAGTGGGAGATGGCCCTTTCCTTGGTGCTGGAGGCGGACAGCCGGGGAATCACGCCTGACTATGTCAGCTATGATCTGGCCATGCGAGCACTGCACAAAGCCAAGCAGGCGAATCGTGCGCACAGTCTCCTGGAGACCATGAAAAGCGCAGGAGTCGGACCTGGGAAAGAGATGCTAGGGATGGTGCTGGAGCTCTGTCGTGAGGCGGGCGACGTGGCGCGAGCCGAGGAAATTGTGCGCGAATTGGATAGAGGGGGGCTTAGTCATAGGGAAAGCGAAGGTAGATGAGATGATAGATGTATGATGATAAGTTTGTGGGGGGAAAAAACGTGTAAATAGTAGGAAAAGAAAGAATTATATCACATGAAGTCTTGAAAGATCGACCAGAAAGTCCACCCGCTAAGGAAGGCCGGCCGCAGTTCTTACAATGCCCCTCGGCTTTCTAACAATTGTCAGCTTTTCTTGTGTACAACTTGAAAAAGAATCATCCCCGTTTCCCATCCATCTCGAGAGCCTCGCTCTTAGTGAACATCGAAAGCGGTT